CCAGACGGCCGCAGCATTCTTATGACTAAGGACCAATAAAATCTATACCATTTAAAACAAGTAGCGAACCCAAACTTCGTCGTTTAAAATGGGCACCTTTGTTGCGCAGGCAAGACTTGCGCATGAAGCTTGTCGTTGTAGGAGACAATGCAGACAACTGGAATTCTCAATTTTGGAAAGATTTGTTATATGCTGAAAAAGCATTTCAGTCCAAAGGATGGGGTCTATTTAAATCATGAAGTATTTGAAACACAGAAAATTGAGAGATCAAAATGGAAAACAGTCTTATGGGTATATTTATCTCCTTTTTTCTCTACTAGATGCATTAGAACTTCATGCTTGCCTCATGCCACGAGGGAGTCTTGAACCAGCTTAGTGAACTTGAAAAGTGCATCATATCGACATGTCTTCACATTCGTCGACGCTATAGATGACTATAAGAAGTGTAGTAGCATTACTGACAAAGGCAAGGGAGATCGGAACGGCCAGCCATACCCAACCCCGAGGTGCGCAACCCCTGGGGTTAGATCACGCGATCTGCTGGTTAGAAGTTTAACGCCCAAGTCACGAAGCCACGGGCTCGTTGTCTTGTCGTTTGCGATCAGGTATATCAAATGGTAAAGCGGCGCTCAGTGATCGTTTTGATGAAACTCACTCGTCCGGTTGTGCCTTGGGGCTCTCGCTGGAGCCAAAGCAGTAATTACACAACGGCGCGTTTTTAAGAGCATCGAAAATCAGTGAGAAAAATGAATGCTACTTAAGTAGTCACTTTTTACAGAGTGCAGTTTCTGCGTGCAGCCGAAAAGAAATTCTTTTGAAAAGTGGCATCCTGAGGTAACTGAATTATGATAGAATTGTGCTGCATGGCGATTAATTTTACAACGCCACTTACTTGGGTCTCTCTCTGGAGCCCAAACAACAGTCGCACAACGTCGGATAAAATGGGCGGAAGCGTCTCTTTTTCTCGATAAAGCTGTGCGGAGAATTATGTTATGTGAGAGCTAACTCGATATTTCTGTGTTCTGTGTGTTGTGGCAAATATAGTCGAATGAATGGCTAATGTGATACAAGGCCCAAAGGATGAACAATTGGTTTTTCGACCGGATCTTATTTCGTAGCCGCATCTGCAGTAGACAAGCCCAGGCCGTCTGCCATACGGGACCGGTGGGAATAGGGGGTCTAACACTAACGCCTAACCCTAACACTAGCCCTTAACCCTAACCTCCTACTTCTTACCCCTAACACCAATCCCTAACCCTAATCCCTAACCTTAATCCATAACCCCTAACCCCAAACCGTAGCCCCTAACCCTTACCCCTAACCCTGGCTTCTAACCCCAACCCTTAACCCTAACCACTAACGGGTGCGGCCATGAAATGGAATCTTCCCGGTTTTTCACCTGAAGTATTCCACTTAATCTGTCTGAATTCTCCTAACTCAAACAACATCAAACTAGTCAAATATTTCTCAGACCTAAGCGAGATCGTTCGCCGTCTACGGATGGCTGGCTACAGCGCATAGTGCATAACAGCAAATATTCCAAGAAGACGCCACATTGGTCACGTTCGGTTTTCTTTACCTACGGGCAAAAGGAAATCTGTGATCACTTTCTGCCAACGGCTCTAATCACACCTCTGATCCAGAAAGACAGCTCCTTGTCTCTGTGAAGTGTGAAGCTCTTATGTTCATTTGAATATCGAGGGAAAACTGGCATTAAAATCCAACCTTGAATCATTCTTAATCTTTTGTATGAAATTTTAATTGAGAAGACGGAGGTTAAATCTCTTTGATCCTTTCTACCATCTTTATCACTTGCTTTCGGACTACTTCCTTTGATAATATTTTTTTCTTATTAACAACACCATGCTTATATCTACAGAATTTTGGAATTAGAGACATTTTGGCCATAGCCAGGAAACGGGTACTATATACAGGCCTCAAATGACTTTTTTAGATTCGCAGAGGGTACAGGTGCCACCTTTAGACGTTTCAGGTCGATTATGAATCCTTTTTGTTGCTAGTGACGTTGCTAGTGGTAATCCAGTCAATAAGTGGCTTGAAAGGTCCGCCTGCCACTGCAAGGAACGCCCTATCCTGGTCTGAGTAATCGAATGACGTCGCATTTGAAACTTTGACCAAAGGGGGTTACTGTGGTTCTTGCTGCAAATGAATGAAGAGAGTGAACGATAATTTGTATGAATCAAGGATTTCGTTTCTGTTGACATAGCGGACCACAATCGAGGGCAAACCCTCTCGTAGACTTTGGTTAAGATGGAAGCGAAAGTGCGAGTTTCAAAAGAAGGGAACGACACGATCGTTGGAATAATCTCGGTACTCGCCTGTTGCCCTGGGTTTACAGCGGCACAGAAAATGTACCCCGCTTAGTGCTGTAGTTTCTAAGCACCTGAATCTGTCTCTGATGAGGGATTCATGTGTGAACTTGAAACGATATACGACTAAAATTCATATCTCAATTTAGTCAGTACATCGAACTCAACAGGGGACTACAGTTACCTGGTAGGGAACAATCGCATTGTGCCACCGCCTCGGGTTATAACGAGGGAGCATTGCCATCGCTATATTCCCCGCAAACACACACACGACAGTTCGAGCATCGTTGTCGACGATGTCCGCCGTTTGCTGTACACAAAAGCAGAGCAGACATGGTGGCGTGTGCATGAATTAGTTTATAGTGGCAGAAGACTTGCTCAGCACCTACCGCACTCTCACTTTCCAACTCCCCCACCTGGACCCGGTGACAAGACAGGGTCAACAAGACCGGAGGCAGGGGAAGGTGCAGGTGGATGGCACAGTCAAGCCCGCACCTTGGCGTTCCATTCCACAGCCCCTGTTCCGGACAGCACATGACCAGGTTTTTGACCAATAGCAACAACAACACTTCAAGGGGGGTCAAAAGGACGATGAAGACTGGACAGCCATGCTCACTATCGGTATACCCAGCGGGAGCGCACGCGCATCTACCGGCAGGGGTTCAGGTGTCAGGGAACCGCCAGCGCATTTGCAGCTGCAGTAGACTTGCGCAGCATCTACTTCACTGTCTCCCCGCCTCAAGACCGAGTCCAGAAGACCGGAGGTGGGAGAGGCCGCTGGGGACTAGCACCGTGAAAACCCGCACCTTGGTGTACCACCGCACCCCTGGTCCACAACGTTCACTGACCAGCATTTTAGGCATCGAGAAATGGGCTGGGGAAGCGGCATGGATCCCAATCGCCGCGGCGTGAGCCTGAAACTAGACCTGTCACTGCACCCAAAATGTCGACATTTTTTATGGGAGCGCCCGTGGACCCGAGAAGAGGCTAATGTAGGCAGATGACAATTGGCAAACATTTAATTTCTACTGTCGAGCCGGGTGATTTACTGCTGGGCGTCGTTTTGTGTTGAAAAATTTCCCCTATTTTGGCGTCAACCTCCTACCCCTAGCCCAGCCCTTTGAAGGAAAAACCTTGATCTGTGAAGGCGGGAGGCTGTGGGCATGACAACCATCTGGGACAGCTTATCAACCGCAAATGTTCAGAGGCATTTACTACGGACAGAGGGTAAGTTTTTAGCGAACGCAGACGACACGCTATGGCCGACATTGGTTAGATAAGAAATCCTACCTGTCTACTAAATACTTGCCAAACATTTCGTGAGACTGGGCCTGTACAAGCTAGTAGTGGATTAAATTTTTAAAAATTTCCTGCGACCATCTTTACCGGACTTCCAGTAAGCGTATTTCGGGAAGAGAGAACTTTTGATAACAGTCTATGTCCTTATCCATGTATATACACTTACTCCCTGCCATAAACCTCACTTTCAGTAATATTCAGGAGTGCAATGGTTCGTTAGTTTCGCAAGTACGGGTTCTGGATCTGGCCAACTTACACATTAAACTAGCCAAGATGAGAACCATCCCTCACGCGCTCACACATTGTATCCTCGGCTTCGATATCGGCGGGAGCTTGTAGTGAGGTACCGGACTAATTTACCTTTGACGATTTACTTCCATTTTCTTTGACCGGATTTCTTGTTTGAATGTGACGAGAAACCACAAATCTGTACAACCCGCATTGCTAGCGTGCTCCGCCGTCGTGCTCTATTGTTAAGTTTTCTTAACGTTCAAAACTCTCTACATTATTCACTGCTCAGTTTTACTTGCTTCTTTTAAGGATAGGGGCTCGTGAGCTATAACATTCCCTACGAGCAGTGTTGCCGGACTTCCAGTAAGTGTTTTTCGTGGAATTTTTGAAAAGAGTCCATGTCCTTCTCCATATATATGCACTCACCTTCCTGACATTAGCCTAGTTTCAGTAATATTCGGGAGTGCAACAGTTCGTTACGTTCAAAAGTACGGGCTCTGATCTGGCTGATCTGAGTCTCTGCAAAGGCCAATTTTTGCGTTACACTAGCCAAGATGAGAACCACCGCTCAGATTCTCACATATTGTATTAAATGCGACCATTGAGAAATAGGTAAGGCGCTAAATTCATTACTTCTTAGGTGATTTTATTAATAATCCTGGAAGAAAATCGAACAAGCCCGCTTTTTATTGCTTCTAGCCTCTTCCAGCCAAACCAAATTAAAATATCTTTTTACAAAACGGGAGATATCCCTCGTCATTCTTTAACTATCCATCAACGTGCAATACTATAGACGTTGGAGTCTAATATACCAGTAAAAATAACCACAACAATGCGTTCAGCATGAAGGCCGGGCCCTGGATGGCATCCGGAGGTGCGTTATGCCCATGAGAACAACTCACAAAGCCGCTCGGCCAATCAAATGTATTCCGCTTCTGATTGGCTCAGAACCAACTCATACCCAGGACATTCGCTTCCGGCACCTGAGTAGTCCCTACTGCGCGTCCATTTCCACACCTTTTTCAACGAGTATAAGGGGGTGAAGTGGTATTCCCATTAACGCCCCCTGCTGTACTGAAGAATAAATCACTTTTAAGCCTCTGCCTCCAAGTTTGGAACAGGGCTTTTTAAAACCCTGTAATGTACATCCATATTTGGCCGTCTGGACTCATAATTCTACTATTTGGTGGGGCTATCCTGGTCAGTTCCGAGGGAGAAAGCTCGCCGCAACGCTTTTGGGTCAAGGAAAATACCGCTGCGGGCACCATCATCGGTGAAATTGCTCAACGCTCAGGTTCTAGTCTCAGACCACACTCCTTTACCAATCTTGCAGACAAACGGATCAGCGCCTTCTTTTCCGTCGTCCCCAGTAATGGTTCCCTCGTCACCCTCAGACAGATCGACCGCGAGGAGATCTGCTCACAGCAGTCTCAGACACAACAGTCGTCGTCTGCAGACGACTCCAACGCCTTCTTCTCCCCTTACCAGGAGAATGTCCCCTTCTGTGAGGTTGGCTTCATTGTACACGTCTCGGTTGAGGCAGGCGAGGCGGGAGCTGATGCTGCTGCTGCTGCTGAAAGTTATCTGGAAACAGTATCCCTCTGCATTGCTGACGAGAATGATAATCCACCAGTCTTTACGCCCAACGTGATTACCCTGAAGATATCCGAATCCTCGCCTGTTCAAAGTCAGTTTCCCCTGCCCTCCGCCACGGACGCCGATCTGGGCACGAATGGGGTTAGCCACTATCGCCTGAGTCGGTTGCATTACGAGGTGGGTCAGATACCCCCCAAAACCTGTCCGATCTCCTCCGGTGGGTCACAGGGTTCTACATCCGCCCACCTGCTAGATAGTGAGCCTCCCGTATTCGCCCTCATGTCTGATGAGCACGACGAAGCAGATGGACGGAGGAGTGACAAGGTGCCAAAGCTCTTGCAGGTGGGCGGACTGGACTACGAGCAGCTGAAAACGTTGTACTACTGCCTAACAGCTTTTGATGGGGGCGGTCTAGAAGGCTCCCTGTTGGTCATTGTTGAGGTCCAGGACGCTAATGACAATGCACCTGCCTGGGTCGGGCTACCGTATCGGGTTAGCGTCCCGGAATGTGGTGAGCAACGCCACCAAACACCACCGGCCCTCTGGAAGGCCAGTCTGGATGCACGGAATTACGCTAGGAGCCAGGGTTTTGACTACGACGCTCCGCTACGCTTCGTCACCCAGTTGATGGCCCTGGACGCAGACAGCGATGTCTACGGTCAGGTGCGCTACAAGACCTCTGAACAGATTGTTCGAAAGCCGCAGAGCAAAGAAAACGGTGTCAGTACGGGTGCCTCAACGGCCTACAAGAGCATTATTCACGGCGACAAATTGTTCCTAATTGGGCATCTGGACTACGAGACTACGCCACGCATCAGCATCCCCGTGGAGGCTGTTGATGGCGGGGGGCTTTCCAACTTTACTGAAATTGAGGTTTTGGTGGAGGACTGCAACGATAATATCCCACAGATTAGTATTCAGTCGCTCAGTCCTGCACCTTCCGATATCAGCAACGAGAATGGGGGTCAGGCCTTGTTGATAAACTCCTTACAGACGCAACGGCAGCCGAGCATTTGGTTCTATGAGGAAGAGATGGCGGAAATTAAATTAGCCACGGTCACGGTGACGGATGCAGACTCCGAGCAAAACGCCAACATCAATTGTGATGTGGAGTGGAACAGTGTGGTTAGCGTTAACCCCTTCCAGTTGGTCCCGCTCAAGGGCGCTCGACTTCCCCCCGGCAGTGGATACAAGGTGCCCAAAGTGTACATTCTTGTGAAGCGCAAGGGCGTTAAACTGGATCGCGAGACGACTCCGCGTGTACAGGTGACGATTGTCTGCACGGATGGTGGCTACCCAGAAATCAACGTTGCTCGCAGTTTAGTGGAGATTGGCATTCTTGACATAAATGACCATGCACCCGAGTTTCAGAAGCCTCCCTCCGCCATAATGGTAGGCAGCACACATGTACGAAACGCATATTTCGCTGTGCCTGAAAATGAACCACAGGGGACCCTTGCCGGTGTACTTCGAGCCACAGATGCAGACGTCGGTATGAATGCCGCAGTCAGCTATTCTCTGACAGCCTGTCCCGACGAAAACACCACTCTGCCATTCACCATCGAGGCCAGCACTGGAAAAGTCTACACAACTCAACCCCTGGACCGTGAACTCAGGTCTGCCTACTGCGCAATACTCACTGCAGTGGACGCCGGTCTTCCACGGCTGAGCAGTTCGGAGAAAGTTGTCCTACTTGTCCTAGATGTGAACGATTCGCCGCCGATCTTTGTCAATAATTACAACATCTCCGGATGCATTGTTTTTGAGGCGTCCGAGACCTTTGAGCACGAACAGGTAACGAAGAACTTCCTTGGGCAGATAAATGCGACTGATGCGGACGAGGGATCCAATAGTTCACTTGTCTTTAGTTTGAAGTCGTCCCAGGCATCGATGGGCGCCGGGGGACGCGCCACCTTCCGTATTACACGAAAGGGCCAGCTCCTTGTGAACGGAGTTTTAGATCGAGAGACCACGGCAGAGTACGAACTGGTAGTGGTGGCCTCAGACAGCGCTCCTCCACGCCATCGTCTTTCCACGGAGATTCCAGTTAAGGTGCGGGTCCTGGATATCAACGATAACGCCCCAGTCTTCACGGAGCCTCCCACTGCAGGCGATCACCTCTCCACTGTCGCTGTGGCGAATGTGACTTTACAAACTGCGGTCAACAGCACCATATATCGAGCGTGTGCTCACGACCCCGACACCGGAAATAACTCCCTTCTCAACTTTTCCCTTCGTTGTGCCAAATACCTGAAACCCTTCTTTAACGTCACAATGCCAGTAAAGCAGGCAGAAGGCGAAGCAACCTGTGTGCATATCGTGCTTACGAAACAGCTTGTGCATCTCATCGCCTCGGCTTCTTCGACCAGTTCGAGTGAGATTGATGCCAGCCAAGTAGATGCCCTTAGCCGCCAGATAAAGTTTCCCATAGAGCACCAACTCTATATAATTGTCAGTGACTCCGGTCAACGGCAATTCACAAAGACGGCACGATTGAGGGTTGTGATTCATGGAAGCGGGAGCAGTGAAGCCAGCGCTGCCTTCAGCAGGGATGACGGCAGTAGCAAACAGTCTGTTGTGGAGGTCCCACAACGATCGCACCGTTTGGAGTCAGAGAAAATCAAGGTCGGTCCGGCAGGGTCGTTGTTGTCACAACGCCATCAGCAACACCTTATCACATATCGTCCGAGTGAAGAGGGATTAGTTGGCGACCTCCGTGGCACAGCAAGAACATCCCCCAAACACCCCGATGCTCCCTCCCCCTCTTCGTCGAATGAAGTCTCAGGGACGGATTCAGGCAGTCATACGAAGGCAAAACACCTCTTCGTCATTGCAGTGGTCATCTTCATAATGTTCATCGGTGTCCTCAGCCTTCTGGCTTTCATACTGCTTCGGGACTTTTCGCATAAACGGACTGCACGTGGAGCGCCTGGCAGCGTAGCCGAAAACACCAGCTGTCAGAAGGGCAGTGAAGGGGGATGTACAACCTACCCAGACTTTCGACCGAGTCCGCTAACATATCTTCCTGAATTGGTCGACGGTAAGTTGACTGAACTTCTTCCTCATTTTATTTGACAAGTGCCTTTTCAGGAAAAAAAGAGGCTATTTGGTTGTATGTTAAGCAACTACCTGTCTCTTTAGTGCTGCGATGACTTTTGGCATTCTGAATTGCCGCTATAGATCACTAGAATAATTGACTTTGAAATGAGGATACCGCTAAAATACCACAGGGCTCACGTTGCGGTTATTAACAGTTGACAAAAGCTTAATTGGCGTAATGGCGTAATAGTTACTGTAAAATAGTTTTTAGTCGGAGGAGCTTCAGAGGTCCAATCACGTGCAATCTCTGATTCGCCTCAAATGGTCACGTTTCTCCCTATGTTGCCGGCTACCACTGCAAATTTGTGTCAAAAGGGCTTTAAAATAAAAAGGTCCTTGTGGTCCATAATGCGGCCGATAACATGCTAGGACATATCAGTTCCATTGTCAAAGAAATTTCGACAGCCATATGGGCCTCCTCTCGTTTTTCTAAGGCACCACTCAGTTGTAAATTTTCATGGTTTAATTGGCTTAATCGAAAACTCCGAGTTCATCTTTATTAACAGTTTCCAGACCTGGAGGGTAGTGGCTGTTTTAGGTAGCTGCGGGGCGCTCATGAAAACAAATATATATGTTCAAAATGCAGTTGATTATTTTAATTCAGCCCTCACTTTGCTGCGTTTTGGCCTGAGGTTCGTATATTATGCAAAGTGTACAGGATTGTATAGCGTTCCTTTCTCACTGTCGGTCTGTTGCTAACGGTGAGGGCCACATTTGCATATGCAATAACAAAAACAACAACGACATGGAGTCAGACTTCTTAATCCGGTTGAAGGATGACATGAGTTCGTCTCGTCTTGCCTCAGGGTTCCAAGTCAAGGCACCTTAGATAAGGAATATTAACAAGTTCAGAGGGCTTACAATGTCCCCTTGAAACTTGTTTGTTACCATCAGCCGGCCACTCACATCAATAATGGATAGGACACACCTGAGATTTGAATCCGAATAAGTCTCTCGGTTGTCCGACACAAATGCTCGATGATTAGCTGAGCTGGAGGTCGGCGATCAGGACTTCCTGTTTCAAGTTTGCTATGTGACCACCTAGTTGGTGACGGCGGGCAATTCAGAGGCGGCTGTCCGCGCCTCCTCTGCTTGTCAGTGCTACTTAAACACCATAGTGAGAGATCAGGTTTGAGTGATTGTTGAAACGCGGCCAAGAGTGTTTCGTGCGAAACGGGCTGGACCGGTTAAACAGCATCGTTTAAGTAATCGTTAAGGTAGTTGAATTTCGCGCCAGAAATGTTTTTGGACGCATTACAGTATGTTTCGAATTCAGTCCTAACTTAAGTGAGGACCCCTTCCCAGGGAAGTGTCAGTTTGTCTAAAAGAACCGCGAAAAAATAAGAAACGGGTGCCACTTTCCCGATGAACAGTCGCGAAGCACGAAGTTCTGCCTAAAGTCAATTTGCGGCCTTGATGATGTGCGATGATTTATGGCAATTTTGCGATTAGACAGCACGAGATCGCAATTGCAGTATCTAAAACGATAGTTATATGTCTTCCATTCAAAAAATGCTGAATCAGTCGTCTCTTAATCACTTATAAGAATGATCCCGTTGGCGACGTAACTTGTGCTTTTCACCAAATTCCACGGTTTTAATCTCGACATTTTCTAGGGGATAAAACAAACAGCTGTTTAAGTCATATGATAGAATATTTACCTAATTGAACCTCTCGATTGGCCAAAGTACTCAGAAATCCAAGAAAACCAGAGGCATGGGGAAATGGGCGTCTTTTTAAAATAAATCATAATCGTAAGCAGAGGGGGGGTAACCTTTTCCTTCTAACTTTTGAGAGTCATCAGTTTAGGAAAAATTTCTTTGATATCTCTGCCTGCCTGGCAATGGGTGAAATCATTATACGGGCAAGCGACCAGTGGGAATTGTCGGCCGGAACTGGAAGCTCTCTACTACATCCACCTTCACGGCTGCCTTCCAACGGTAGATGCGGTTAGTTTATTTATCCGTGGTGCACACTATAACAGGCTCTAACAGTCCATAACCGTGAGGACTTTACTTGGGAGTACTACCACGATTATCCGTAACACTTTTGCCACAATTCTGGACGCCGGAAATCAACCTCAGTCTCCTAGGGGGAAGCCCTGGTGAGAATATCTCGGAGGCAGAGCGAGTCCGATTGTTCGTATGTGAGATCAGTTATGTATCGAATTATCGTGCGTCCGCACGACCCTAGGAGCAGACCTTAAACGCTTGCAGAAATGAATTCGCTCATGTGTAACCCCGGTGGGCGTTGGACTGATGATTTGGTGGAGTGGGGCGGGGCGGGGGGCGGGGAGGCACGGTGAGAGAGCGCCATTAGCGCACGGCCAGTGGCCTTTGATGTTTCAGACTGGCTCTCCCCAAAAGGTTGCCAGCAAGTTAACGCATTCACACCGTTTGCAAATCCTGGCCGTTTGTTGCTTGGCCTACCTCACTCGCGATTCAGCACGTTTTGTAGCAAAATCGACAAAAAACGCCATTTTCGGCAGGCCCTGCCCAGACGGAGTAATGCATGCTTATCCAAGCTCTGATACACGCAGGTCAACACACGCTTTCATTCTGCCAAGGGACGCTGACAAGGACAGCTTGTAAGGGTATCAACTGAAGGCGCAACTACAGTGAGTGACCGATCTCATGATATGTTGGCTGAAATCCTGAAATTCGTTTTCGATTAGGAAGGATTATTTGGTCGCGGTTGTAATACTGATTATCTTGCGGCCAAACCTTATCACATTTCGGACTTCGCACGATGTCAGCTTTTAAATGCACTGTTTTTTAAACTCCTGTAGAAACCGTACTTGGTAAAAATTGACTACTTAAGTAGCATGCATTTTTCCCATTGATTTTCGATGGTCATGCAAATTCAAATATATCTTATAGAAACCATAAACACAGATATGCTTTCTTTCAGTCACTTAATAGAGAATCACACCCATTTTATATTTTATCCTCAAGTAATACGCGTATAATAAGGTTTTAAAAATGTTTTTAATTATGAGATTTTTTAAGACCGCGTAACACCCATTCACATACCATTGTACCTGGCCGTTTACCACAGCTCCTCATGAAATGTATATCATAGTCCGCATCCATTGCAAAATTATATGGACTCTGTATGATATCTTTTTAACTGCATAGAAGAATATGTGATTTTCTTTACGCGGAATGCATTCACCTTGTAGACTGAAATCACTACACATTAATGCAACGAATGATTAGGCTCCAAATTGTTCGTCAATTAGAAACTTCTTTAAAGCCTAATTATACTCATTCCTTAAATATAAAATATCAAGAAGACGTGATTCTCTATTAGCTGACTAAAAGAAAGCGTATTTTTATTTATGGTTTCTATAAGATATATTTGAATTTGCATGACCATTGAAAATCAGTGGGGAAATACATGCTACTCAAGTAGTCATTTTTTTACCAATTATGGTTTCCACGGGCGGTTGAAAAAACGTGCATTTGAAAGCCGACATCCTGTCGAGTCTGAAATGTTATACAATTATGCCGCGAGATAATCAGTATTACTACCGCGCCCACGTAATCCTTCTTATTCGAAAACTCATTTCAGCATTTCAGCCAACCTTTCATGTGATCAGTCACTCAGTGTACTTCGAGGAAAGATCAACAATGGCTCTTTCCTACAGCTCATATATGCCATTTCGTTCTATGTGTGACACATCGCCCATCAGTGAGGTGCGATGCGCATGACGTTTGTCACGCACAGGCGGACCATTTAGCCTGTTCAACTACTGAACTCACGCCGGCCCCAGGTTCTTTTGACTCTGTTTCGCCACTGAAACGAAGTGATCGTAGGGAGGGGCGAGGTGAGATTATACTGCGAAAGTCGGTCGGATCTCGTCTCGCCGTCGTACCTGCAGTAGACAAGTCTCAGCCTGACCCTTAAACCTAACCCTATCCGCAACCCCTTACCCTTAACCCCTAACCCTAACCCTTAAAAGCTACGGTTGCGAAATGAGATCTTGCCCGCAATTCCTTATCACTATATGCGAGTTAGAGTCGAAAGTTTTGTTGAGACCTTCACAAGACAGCACTTGTACTCGTCGGCTGCGACGGACAAGTTTAATATGACTTATAGTTGGCTGCAGGTCCTGTGTAGAGGGCAGGATCATCGCCGTTATACAAGTACTTGCAGCAGATGCGCCATCTCATGAAATGTCAGCCAGAATTCTAAAATGTGTTTTTGATTCAAAAAATTCACTTGGGAAAGGTTGTAAAACTAACTATCGTGCAGCCTAATCCCAAGGTATTTCAGTCGCACCAGGATGCCGGCTATTGAATGAGCTTCATTTCGGGCGCCTAGAAAAAGTGACTACTTATATGGTAGGCTTTCCTCCCCCGGGTCTTCACTAGCCCTATATACTTACAGTGCGTGACCTATCTCATGAAATGTGGGCTGAAATTCTGAAATGCGTTTTCGATTAGGAAGGATTACTTGGTCGCGGTTGTAATATTGATCATCTTAAGGCATACTCGGCAGGATGTCTGCTTTTAAATGCACTTCTTTTCAATCTCCTGTAGAAAGCGTGCTCGGTAAAAAATGACTACTTATGTAGCATGCATTTTTCCCATTGATTTTCGATGGTCATGCAAATTCAAATATATCTTATAGAAACCACAAACAAAAATATGCTTCCTTTTAGTCAATCAATAGAGAATCACGTCTTCTTTATATTTTGTACTTAAGGAAGGAAGATAATTAGGTTTTAAAAAAGTTTCTAATTATGAGACTTTTTAAGACCGCGATATGTCCATTCACATAGCACCGTACCTGGCCGTTTACCACTGTTCCTCATGAAATGTACAATATGATCCGCATCCATTGCGAAATGTTATGGGCTCTGTATGCTATCTCTTTAATGACATAGAAAAATATGGGATTTTCTTTACGCGGAACGCATGCACCTTGTAGAGTGTAATCACTAAGCGCTAATGCAACAAATGATCAGGCTCCAAATTGTTCGGCAATTAGAAAACTTTTTTAAAATCTAATTATGCTCCTTCTTTAAGTATAAAATATAAAGAAGACGTGATTACCTATTGATTGACTAAAAGAAAGCATATTTTTGTTCGTAGTTTCTATAAAATATGTTTGAATTTCCAAGACCATCGAAAATCAATGGGAAAAATGCATGCTACTTAAGTAGTCATTTTTTACCAAACACGCTTTCTACAGGAGATTGGAAAGAAGTGCATTTAGAAGCCGACATCCTGCCGAGTCCAAAATGTTATAAGGGTATGCCTTAAGATAATCAATATCACAACCGCGACCAAGTAAGCCTTCCTAATCGAAAACGCATTTCAGAATTTCAACCAACATTTAATGAGATATGTGACGCACTGTAGATATCTTTTGCAGAAAAGCTGCAGAATAATATCCTTTTTGTATTTATTTGATAGCAAACGATGTCTTTTTCAACTTTTATACTCAGAGGAATGATGTTTTTCAGTTTTTAAAAGGTTTCTAATTATGGTAACCATTTTAAAAACGTGAAATTTCCATTCGTGCAGCAACGCATCAGCACGGCTATTTATGCTACGTATGAAGTATACACCCTGGTCCCGATCTAGCACACAGGTTAACGACTGCTGTATGTCTTATTCCTAACAACATAGAGGACTGTGTGACAGAATACATACTGCATGTAGTTCCAAAATCCAAAATGCAGGCTTAAAGCTTGGTGGAGTTTAAGTCATCTGGGAATTGAAGAAGCTTTCAAAAACCCAAAGATATTCTCTGCACAATTGGAAACTTTAAAGGAGGGCGTAATTTTGCTGCCAAGTGAGTACAAGAAAGAAATATTTTGTGTACGCCTTCTATTGAATATATGTGGACTTATGAGGGCATTGAAAATCAATGACACACTAGGTAAGTAGCTATTTTTACAGAGTATAGTCCTCGCAAACGGTCGAAAAGCAGCCCATTCAAAGGCTGGCTTCCCGGAATGACTGAAATATCTTATAGATATGCTGCAATATAATTACTATTGCAGTGCTACTTCTGAGTCTGAAACAATTTTCAGAGTTTCGGTTAATATTTCATGAAATAGCATACCCATGGACGAAAAATATGCTAAAGTGACATGTGTTCTTTTCCCTATCTCCATCAGAGGAATATAGGAATAGCGATGGGCTCTCTGTTCTCTGGTCTCCTTGCTGAGTTCCACATTCAAGAGTTAGAGATATTGGTGTTTGCAATCTGCAGGCCAATATTTTGAACGCGGTATGTGGAAGATACCTTCTTCATCCTGAAGCGAGAAATGGTCTCCATATTTCACGCTATCCTGAAATCCGTTTTTGGACATTCAGTTCACAATAGAGGCAGAGATCAACAAGTCAATAGCGTTCCTAGGTGTCCTGGTCCATAATCAGACCAGCAGGAGCTTAAGGACGACAGTATACTGGAGGACCACCAACACACGCCAGGTCCTGAGCTACCACAGCAACCACCCGCTGTGCTGCAAACGTAACTGCGTGCGAACTCCCTACAAGACGACGGAAACTCATTGCAGAGAGGCAGACGACAAAGCAGCTGAACTTCACTATGTTCGGCGGTTGTTGACCTCCAACGGCAACCTCTGCAGCTGCATAGAACGCAGCAGACAGCCAAAGCAAGCTACTAAAACAAGACAGAATACCCAAAGGTGTGCCGGGCACTACCATGTATCGAGAACGTATCCTAAACAGTCACTCGTCCCTTACAATCACTAGGGATCGGCGTCACCCACAGACCTGAGATGGCAATAAGACGTCAGATCATGAGACACAGGGCCCCTCTGTCGCAAGGCGAAATGGCGAATTCCGTCTATTATGTCCAGTGCAGGTTTCTGTGAAGCGGACCACGTTGGAGAGATTGGAGAACGACTGCAGACCCGCATGAGTGAGCAAAAAAGTGCTGTGAGAAGGATGGACCAGCTCTAGCTGGTCGCGAAACACTGCGCAGCCTCTGGACACATTTCGCCCTTCAGAAGGCAGAAGTATCGAGCAAACAGTTCGAGAAACGCTCGAAGCCTGACGCGCCGTACTGTTGTACGATTCTCCCGCCAGCTTACCAGGCCTTACGAGTTCGGCCCAAGCAACGGCATCGCAGGCAGGAAGTCAGACTCGAAGCGACAGTAAGTAAACTCATACCGAGCAGGATCAAGGTTGGCGGGAACGTGTATTAGACACAAACACAACTGTAGGGGAAACTGCGGAGAACGCAAATCAGCAAGCCCTCCTCTCAGGCTTGAGCGCAGACGCACGTGAACACAGACGACGGGGGTCGAAGGCCTGATAGGAACAGAGACATCGGCAATGGCTCAGCGGCCGACGGGGGACGAGAACAAGAGATGCGTTTCCATTATCTGAGTCATTCGCTGGCTTTTTCTGTTGGCCTTGATTCGTTCAGCCTTTCCCCCTGCCTCGTATTATAACCCTGCTCAACGCACGTACGCAGTCTGGTTATGGTTTTCGACCATTGGCAGACATGTGCGGTTTGCATCCCCTTTACGGGTGTCGTAGTGGCCGCTTTGTCAGCGCGCTTGTCGGCCTCCCCTCGCCAGATGGCGGAGCGGTCAATCTTTGTTTCTCGACTGTGGTGCTTCTGCCCTAGCGGGTGCGTCCGTGAGACAGTGCGCCACGCCGGTCACGTGACTGCTGTTCGGCGCCCCCTCTTTTTTGCAACTAGTGTCGGCTGTCGGCCCCTCCTGACTGTTTTTCATCCATCCCATTGGCCCTGTTTGAACTGACTCGATCCGTCTCCGGAGTACACTGCATGCGGAATGCAGATCTATGGCTCGGTTGAGTGCGTCAGTCGACGACAAACTTTCCAGCATCAGTCTGGTCATCTTATTACTGGTCCGGCCGCTCACCCTCACTTTCTCAAAGGCGAAACTGTGGCCTTACCATTGTATGTGACTAGAGCCCAGCGGCAGCTTATCCTTGCGTTTAATCGCAGGCCGGTGTTCGTACAACCTTGTGCCGAGGCGTTTGCTCTTATCACCAACATACTTTGAATCTCAATCTTAGCATGGTATGCTGTAGACCTCCGCTGATTTTTCCGTCGTTGGTAGCGGGTCTTTGAGTTTCATGATTTACTGGCCGATTATTGTTGCCGGTTTATGAGCCACACCAAACCCGAGAGGTTTCAAGTTTTGTGACGTCTGTGCGAAAAAGTGCAATAGAGGGAAATTTTGGAAACCTGATTAGGCGCACCGATTACGTCTCCGCAAGGGACGTCTATCTCAGAATGAAGCCGTAGAGATAGAACAGTCTTGGACGACAATCTCTGCTTATGAGGGTGAGAGTTGAATAGCAAGACGGACAGTAAAACCCTTGTGAGGAAAATTCCTCAGATGTCAGTTTCTTTTCCATCCGTCGTATGCCCTTTCTCTGGGTACAGTGCGTGACCGATCTCATGAAATGTTGGCCGAAATTCTGGAATGCCTTTTCGATTGGGAAGGATTGCTTAGGTGGGGTTTTAATATTGATAATCTTGCCAGGATGTCGGCTGTTGAATACACTCCCTTGCGACCTCCCAAGGTAACCACACTAGGTCAAAAAGGACTACTTAAGTAGCATGCGGTTTTCACATTTATCTTTGATGATCTTGTGTATTCAAATATATTTTATACACAACATGCATAAAAATACGCTTTGTTCTACTCGTTCGATAGAAAATCACATTTCCTTTAAACTTTATATCAAATAAAGTGTATATTTAGGTGTCAGAAATGTTTCCCAGTTCTCGAATAATTTTGAGCCTAATCAGCCATTGCATTAGCGTTTAAAGATTTTAGTCTACAAGGCGCATACTTTACGCGTAAGGAAAATCATATATTCTTCTATGTCTTTAGGAAGATACCATATGGAGTTCATAAAAATTTTCAGTGGATGCGGACTATGTCGTACATTTCATGAGGAGCATTGGCAGACGTGCATCTACTAGCATTTTTTAGAAAGCTAACCATGTGATATCACTCAGGTGGGGCTTCAGAATCAAACCTTGCCAAACATTCTTCGTACCTAATCAAACCGTCAGATAAGATTTCAAGGCTGAGGAAGTCCACTGAATGTCTCAATTTGTGGCACCTAAGAACATGTTCTGTATTTTTCCTACTTTTTAAGACACTTTCTTCCAGTCGTAAAATTCAGACGTCAAGACAGCCTGCGGCGTTACTGGATTAGTTGCCTAAGTATGAACTCTAAGGTGACGGTTTTACCGCATAAGACGCTCCGTTCAACTTGAGCTGACTTTTTTTCTCACATTCGTGCGTCCTCAGATTTCATTAACCCTTAAAGTCGGGTCTATGCGCGTGATTGTAAATCATTTCCCTCCTCACAAGGTTAAATCTGTTCTTGTCAAGAAAAGGTTGAATTACAGTTCGCCGTACTTTCATTTCCGGATACGAGGAAGCTGAATGCATCTTACCAGGGCCACTCGAAGACTGAACACGCAGTGAGAGGATGCGTGTTAGGAGGCTACTCAGGAGAATCGGCGTTTGATTGGTCCACATCGTACCTATTATTATCGTAAGCTATGAAGCAGGGGCGGTGCAGAATTCCGGGTCTCATTGTGCCAACGGAGTGCTTTCGGTTATTAATGAGTCCTGAACAATGAAACCAGAATTCCGCCTTCTCGCGCCCCTTCAACTTCGTTGTTAGTGGAACTAATTATAGCGTTAAGACGGAATGACTGCGCTCGCGAATTCACATATAGCCGTGCATTTATGGCCAGACGACAACGTTTACTCCCCTGGAGGACGAGTCTGGAGCATGTAGGCTGTCAGTGGAGAATGGCGAGAGAAAAAGAGCGAGAGCGAGAGAGAGAGAGAGAGAATGAGCAAACGTGTTTATTTATGACCCTGTTGCGCTAGAGCAGGGGGCCAATTGGCGTATAACATTCGTTAGGCCGAGACAAGTCGCATCTGAACGAGTCCTCATCAGTCGTCTGACGTGTGTTTGTGAATTCTTGTAGACGGGAGCCACGCCAAGCCAGCCACTGCGACCTATCTTGTCATTATTCGGGCAACGTGGCGCTAGATGTTTTTACCATAAATAATCACAGGTGCTTTGATATTATCACAACATGTTCACGGTACTGGACTGCGAGATTGCAAATCAGTGAGATAACTCGTTTTTTCTCAAGTCTAATCTAGCCTGTGGTGCATCCCCACCCGCACCAAGCACGAGGTCTCCCGCAGAACCTTGGTCCACGTGCTGTTAGGAATCAGCACGTGTGTGTAATACGCGTAGAGTTGACTTCCCTCCCGTCAGGCCACACTTATCACCGCTTGCTCTGACCATACCTCCTCATAAAAACTCAGTTAGCGCGCGGAGGTTGAAGCAGTAGGGGTACTGCATAATTTTGCCTTATTTTAAACAAATTTACGCACTGACTTCATTACTGAATTATCCGTACGTTTATAAGGGTCTAACTATCGGTCTGCTCATGTCCATTCGGCGCTCCCTGCCGACTAAACCTACTGCTTCTGAAATTTGGACAGTCTGAGGTTATTTGGCGCACACGAAGATCGTTTGGTTTGATCGACTGTATCTGAAGCTTATCAATAACCTTAGTCCAAAGTACATCCCCGTCGTTGGTTGCCTGAATAAACGAAACCCCTACATTATGCCACCCAATGTACCTTTAAATGTACACCTCTGAGACCAGGAAGCGAACATCAAAATGCATCCTACCTTGACTGCCTCGGAGTGATCTTGCGGTCCCCGTAGTCTGCGTAATTTTCAAAATTTTTCCTACAACACGGACATACGGTAATTGTAGGATAACCTGTTAAGTGGTCTGTTTTCTCCCATCGGCTATGTAGATCCAAAATCTTTTTTCCCACGGCAAGAATTTGTGAGTTGGAAAGTATGGCGCCGCTTTTATTTTCTGTGTGAAATTGCAAGTTTATTTTATCTCTCCGGGAGTTATCTTTCATTGGAGCATAAATTCAACCTTCGCAAACATCCAATTTTTGTCCCTTAAGAAAATTTTAAACTGTTAGAATAAAATATGTTCGTGTTTGGTTAGCAGAACGAGAGGTGGCTTTGCGTGCATTGGAAGAGGGATGAATTTTAAAGGGGGGATGGAGCCATAGTGATATGCTTAGCCCCCTAAAATAAAAATCTTCCACTGCTGATGGTGGGAAACACGAGGGAGCAACCGCCTACCAAGCGCGTTAACGAACAAGGCAACCGGGACAAACATAGAACGACAAGGATGGGGGAGATCGAGACGGCAGCCTTTTTCGGATGCATCAGCGTCTTCTTCAATCAGTAAAGAACTGACAATGGACACAAATGTCAGAGCACCTGCCGAAATGATAAGGCCAGGTCGAAGAGCTAACAGCACTGGACGGAAGCTTCGGTAATACTTCCCACTCAGCCGATGTCAGGGTCTCCACGTACTGGGCGTAGAAACCTGGCCCGTACTTACTAGAGTAAATACTTTCAATTATTCCAGGGCCTGGGGTTTCGACGAAAGAGGCGTCTGTGAATCTGCACGTTGCAATCTTACAAATAACGTGTCCGGCCAGATACAAGATTCTACTGGTTTTACACCAAACACAATGCTCGCTAACTCATTTTAAGTGAGAAGACCTGCCGACAGTATGCCACGCCTTCAAGAAGTAAAAGTAGTCTAGGAATGTATTTTCAGGTTCCACCGTAAGTCTCCCTAGCATATGTCAAGCTCCATTAGGCACAGTCATTCTGGACGCAGGAAACTTCTCATACCGTCGACCTGTATTAAACTTTTTATGGAGACAGAGCACATCGCCTGCTTGTGCAGATTTCCTGTCAAAATGCTTTTCCAAACAGATGCCTTCTGCAGTTAGTAAGCTATGCTGCTTCAGGTTTGAGGGAAATCCTGCGAAGCCTCACATTTTACGCAAGCATCAGCTATGCCATGATCAGCAAACCATGGCCCTTGCAGCCTGGTGTGCGCTGGAAGTTCTCTGGTACCCGGCTCCCTCCTGGTAGATGCGCATGCGCTCGCGCTGGATATACAGATCGCGAGCATGGCTGTCCAGTCATCCTCATCGTCTTCCTGGCCAATTGTTGTGTTGTTGTTATTGTTGTTGTTGGCTAAAATCCTAATCAAGTATTTGTTGTGGACCAGGTGGTACGCCTAGGCACGGGTCTGGCCGATCCAACCACATGTGTCCTCTCCCAATTCCGAGCTCCTTGAGTGTATTCACACTGGAACCAGGTGGGGGAGGAGGAGAGGGTGCTGGAGACGCTGCGCAAGTCTACTCCTACTGTAACTTAATTCACGTGCATCATTGTGCTTGCTCCACCTTGCTGTGCAGCACACAGTGGACATCAGCGGGTACGACGGTCAAAGCGTCGTGTGGGTGTGTGTGTGGGCCCCAAGCGGGCTACGTGGTCCATGCGATGGACCAACACTCGGGCCATATAGGATCCTGGAAGGTGTTATCGGAATGCGCACCACAACAAATACCAACATCTCGATGAGCGGTGGCAGAACCAATTGCGCGCAGACGTCGCGCACATTGGGACCCCTGCGTCCCCCCATTGTTGTTGTGGGTTAAATCACGGTCACTTGCAGTGTGAGCCAGGGGGTGTGGAGCGGAGCGCACAAAGTACCGGCTCCACCGTGCCATCCGCTTGCGTCCTCCCCCGTCTCTGGTCGTCTTGATTTTGTCATGACACCGGGCCCAAGTGAGGGACGAGGAGAGAGTGCGGTCGATGTTGCTCAGTTTTATCAGCATTTTCAAAGACATCGCACGCAAGTCACTGTGTCTGCTGCACCTTGCCGGGGAGCACACGGTGAACATCATCGGACTGTCGCGTGTGTTGGGGGACGGGGGATGACTGGCTCGAGGACTGGAAGCCAGGTCTAGTTTGATTTCCGAGGAATTTAAATGCCTCCATCTTATCGTGGTCTTAAAGGTACTCTGAAGGGCGTGAGGCACGAGGCCCCGTTTATGAGAAAATCCGCACATTGCCCGGAGGCACGGTTGTGTGTGGTACGTGTAGAAGGCCCGTTTAACTTTGTCAGCCACTAAGCCCTAGCGCACCTCCGATCAGCATGACGCTGTCTGGCCATTGGAGTCTGATGGATGAGGGAAGAGAGAGTGAGGTTAACGACGTGCAAGTTCATCTCACTATGTCACGCGAAAGTCACCAGTGCTGTGCCCAGTACGTGGACGTAGCCGTTCATTAAGTTCGGACTCCCACCATCTCACTCACGCCCCAAAGCGGCAGAAATTAGGAATCTAAAAGGTAACGTGTCTGATCAATTCACACAATAGGACGAAAAATGGGAATTCTTCGTTTCCCTTTGAGATAGGAATCAACGGCTTCCACATGCAACCATATGGCGACCGGGGGTCAATAGTGGAGAGATGCCCTTCACACCAACAAAAACTGTCTGATAGTTATTTTTGCTCTGTTAGACTTCATTAGCCTAGCCTAGGACTGAGCCCGACTTACAGGCTGGAGCTTCATCTATCACACCTCCCCTCTCTGTCCATCCAACTACCTCCAGTTGGTAGGTGGACTGGGCTAGGACGAAAGGAGGCAGATCTTGGCACAGTAGCTGCCGAGGATAAGTAACCCGCCTACGCGCATCACGCATGACCTGTTACTTACTCCACTTCTGCGATGCTTTCTTCAGGGGTTTCTCGGATCTCACACATACACGCAGACAATAAAAGCTGATGATGATAGTTCGGCCGTCGGTTTCGACAATGTCCACCGCCCCTGCTCCACAGCAAGGCGGAACAGGGACGGTGACCTGTGCGTGGGTTAGTTTATAGTGATAGTATACTTGCACAGCGTCTGCCGCACTCTCTCCTCCCCACTCCCCACCTGGGCGCGGTAGGGAGACAGAGTCAAGAAGACCGGAGGTGGAGGTAGGTCGCAGGTGGTTGGCACGGCCGGAGCCGCACCTTGGCGTGCCACCACACCCCCTGGTCCACACAGCAAATGGCTAGGATTTTTCCCCAACAACAACGAAAACACCCGAGCATGGGCGAGACAATAACGACCAATGGGCAGACGACACTCGCAGGATGGGTGTGGGTCGACGTGAAAACAGAGAAACGTCTGGGGATAGGTGACCGAATCTACTTTTTGAAGTGTCGGATCTATTAGCCAGTGCGTGAGAACTGTAGTTTTCACTGCGTAGGACCACTTGACTTCTGAAAACCGCTTTCAGTGCCTGGATTGACGCTACCCTAACCAAACTTCCGGAAGGCATGAGCAATTTTCTAGCGTAGATGCACCCCAGTTCCACCGTAGTACTCCTCCATGTCTGCCTTGTCGCCTCGACAATCCCTAGACGCAGCAACCAGAAAATATTGCGGAGGTCTCGGAACAATATAAGTCGAAAAACTTCTCCCAGGTGCAAGCCATAGGAAGACTACTGGTAAATGCGCAATTCCCTTCTTGCCGCCTTCTGGCTCAATGCTCTTTCGGCAAACTGGCGGGATAAAGATGTCTGTGATTTTATCGCGGGACAGGAGAAACGGGCACCTAGGGCTGTCTAAAGTTAAAACTGCATTAAAAGGTAACTGCAGCATCGGCCGTCCACCATCCTGCCCCCAACCTCAATGGCCGTTGGCGTTATCGTCAGCACATCAAGTCACTGCTACCAGGTCCAACATGAATGACAAACGTTCGTAGTCCGTGTGGCCATAATGCTATCACTTTTTGTACGCCTTCCATATGCTTGCCGGCTGGCTTATCCTGCCTGCGCTTTTCACGCAGTACTCTTCCAGGGGCCATGCTGCGAAACATTCCCACTAACTGGACGAGAGACCATTTCAGGCTAGCATCGTACCAAGTACGAAAATCTGCGATTGATAAGGCAGCTACTAATTTTAGTAAGTGTGCGGTAGCGTAGCAGCCCTGTGCGTGCGCCACCTCTATATGCTCATGTCTTCTAAAACACCCAGGAATAATCACCCGTATTACGGGTGATCTTACGCCTAATTCCAGATGGGTCAGGAATGGCCATTTCGGGCTTACTATCCGTCATCAGCCAGTCATACCCGGCCCTGAATTGTGGAATACCTGAGGCCTGATCCCGCGATCTGTTGGTCAGAATCTCAACCCCCCTAACCACTGAGCCAAGGGCTCGTTGTGCAGGCGTTCCACACCTCGAGGTTGGGCATGACTGGCTGATGACGGCTAATGAGCCAGACATGGCCATTCCAGTCTCCCTTGTCTTTGTCGACAATGTTACTCTGCCGGTGTGCTAAATTTCAGGAAGGCTAACGATTTTCCACTCCTAATTCCAACCCTGATCCCCTGGAATTTAGCGCAAGACCAGCTGTGTCACGCGCGTTCTTAGTGGCGTGTTTTGCCAGGCTACGGTTGTGAGTAGGGTTAGGTTTAAAATACGGACACAGGAATATGTTGCCCTCGGGATTTAACGCAAGATTAGTCGTAATATAGGGAGAATACTTATTCCCGTGTCTAATAATAGTTCCAATTGCGACTTTTTTCCTGGGAAATTAGTTGCTGACTTGAGATAGATCAGTCTATTTGAGATTTATAAGCTCAGACTGAAATTTTGTTATGAGTATTTGAGCCGAAGCCCATCAGACACAGCGGAATAAACACGCACTGTTCATAAACTGTCAACAGGCAGCCAGTACTGTGTGCATAAGTAGGACGATATGTCATTCTTAAAGCACAGGCACTAGCTAGAAGCCCAGATACGTGTTTCGCCGACATTCTGCCACAACTTCGAGGGGCTTGGCTCATCACTGGGTACGCCCGTTTTTATATTGGGGCTCCTTGTGCCAAATTCCAGTCTAAGCCTAAAAGTACCAAATAAGCAGACCGAATAAACCGATTAACTTCTAAGGTAATTAAAAGTCTGTGACTGCAAAACTGGAAAATCCACCAGAAAACACATGGGAACGCTAGGAGACCCACTGCAGTGACAGAATATCGACGAAACGCGGGTCTGGGCTTTTAGCTAGTACCTATATTGTCAGATATGGCATATTCTGCTATCTACGCATAGCTCTGCTACTGGATTCTCGAGAAGGGATCTGAGAACAGTTCTCCTTCCAGTGTTGGGGTCTGCTTTTTTACAAGTCGCTTCCCGAAACCAACCTTGACGCTTGTTGGTAAGATGGCCTGGGAAAAAATGAGGACCAGTAGAGATCACTGGGGAAATGCAGTTGTTGGCGGAGGATGTGCGGTTCGAAGAATGTTCAAATAAGTCAGGTTTGGACATTGACCGAAATGGCATATCTGATAGGCGTGTGGGTTGGCTCAACTTAAAGTTCTCTAAGGAAGGAAACCGACCGACTTCATAGGACCCCACAGGGCTTTACAGAAAAACTAATGCGGGCACATTGTCGCAGAGAGGTAATTCAGTCGCACTGTCCATAGAAGATGCCATCTTGACTCAACGTACGTTAAAAGGCTTTAGCTTGCGATACAAATATTTACGACTGTGCAGAGTAGCAATTCGTTTTGTGTGGAAAATTCTTGCCTCCACGAATTTGTGAATTTAAGCCGTCTAGCGCATTATGTTGTGTAAACTAACGCACCTATGTGCTTTGTCTTCTCCCAAAAGTTATCCTTAATCCCAGAATTCGAAAAAGTTGGGAATGGCAGCACCCGGGTGGGATGTATCAGTCATGGAGATAATATTTAAGGTCCATTTCCTGCATGCAAAAATGCATCCAGCAACATTTGCATGATTGAAGCCAACCATGTCCGTTAAAAGGAAGTCGAACGGTCCAGAATGCAATTTTTACCTTTAAAAGTGATGAAGGGGTAATCGTTCGTCGCAGGGGGTGGAAGCAGCAGAAGCTTCTAAAACAAAACTACAACCTTATATGCCCTTCGTCTACTAGTAGCCGGAAATCTTCCCAGTCGGTTTTCGCCAATAATAGTATTAGATGTTTAAAGTCAATGAAGGATCCTTACTGATAGGTTATTGACCCAGCGAACAGTTTTAACTTGAGAAACTACTAGCAATGGAAAAAAATCTATCTAGACCAGGTCGTATTTGAAATTTTTATGAGATTGGCGTGCACTGATCTAGCATGCCTGGTTAGACCGAGTTAAGAGCTTCATGCGTGCCGAACTGAGGAGTGCTGTACGGCTGACCAAAGCTGACAAATAAGACGGAAGTATCCACTCGAAGTTTCCCTATTTTTCGCGATAATTTTTATCTATTGGCTGTATTTTGTTACTTTTTGAACTCTCAGAGGGCTATTGGTTTTTTCATTTTTTTTTAATTTTGGGAACAATTATTCCCACTAGTGATCACGGAGCCTCGGCCGATGCATTGACTTTGATAACTCAACTGCGCAATTCGCCGTCGAATTTACAATACCTGATCGAATTCCTGAAAATGTTCTAATAAATTGCAAGCCGACATAACTACATCGACTAGTCGTTCAAGTAATATCGAGTGGGAAAAGTAGAACACAACAAATATGAAAGTAATATACCACTGGCCAGATGTAGCAAACTTCCTTCTAAAAAGCATAAAAGTCAAAAACACAAAAATGTGATTGAGTACGGCAAGGAATATTTTATTTGGATCTTCGGTAATGACAGCACAGTAACAGAGGCTTTTTCATGATCGCACTTCGAGAGACCGGTAAGAAACTAATGAACTCGGGTATAAATAAGACGAGAAACCATTAGGATTTCGTAGTTTATACTATAGGGCTTCTACTTGGTAGAATTATTTTCTGCTTTTTGGTTGTAATTGATTCCGTTGAGTTTCAAAATGTCTCTAAATTATCTGTGTGCACTTTGCGACGTCCGATGTACTCGGTCGAATATCCGAACTGCTATTTTTGTAGTTTATGGCAAATAAAACTTTTAACATGAAACAGGTTTTGAAAGGTTTATCACCATGGTGAGTTCTTGGAAGTTTTATGTTCTGTAGATGTCGGTTTGGGCAATGCCTAAGGCTCATCTAAGCATGAATCGTGATCGCTGAGTAAAATCGACGAAGGCCGGCCAGGAATATACTGTTGATCGGCGGGAAGCCTTTCGATAATAAGTTCTCTTTCCATAAGTGTTTCGCCAGGGGATTTCGCAGAGGAATTTCCATCATTTTGATAAATTAAGGTCAGGGAGAAAATTAAATAATTTTGTCCATTCATGAGCTTACCTGTCGGATACCGACCACCGTTACTCCTAAATACTAGAGTAGCTCATTTTTTTCTGGAATCTTTTCTCATATTCCATCTTAAGTTTCAGGTCTATTGTCTGAATTCGACTGCGACATGGAATCGGTCGATAATTGTTAAACTACTAATAAGATGATTATGCCTTATGCGTTACGTTTCTAAAGCGTCTATTGGTTGAAAGTAAACTGTTCAATTAACCTCTTACAATTAATTCAAAGTTTAAGCAGTCATTTGTTAACAGGTATTTCTGCCCTTACTTCCAGAATGCCTTGCAGGTATAAACAGTGCCGGTATGATGAAGGAAATTATTGTCAAATGAGGTTGCTTATGCGTTTTATGTCATAAAAATGCACATAGTAACAAGACCACCATTCCCAGAGAAGGAATGAAAATGAAGCAACCATTTACCCCACTTAATCTTTGAATTGAGCAGATTTAGATCTCATGTTCTTGGTAAAAGTTTTTCGCCTGGATGACTGTCGTTAACATGTGCTTTACATTAGCGATTAAATAGGAGTTTTCCGGACATGAAGAAGGGCTGAACTCTGCCAAAAAGGCGCATCATTTCGGCAATAAAATGGTCTAAAAACATCATTTGTGCGGGAAACAGCTTCTTTACGTATCGCATCAAGCTAATAAGCAAAGTGTACAACTTAAAAGGCATTTCTGATTTCAGTCACCTAATCTGCTTGCTTGCATTCTTCTGTGCCTTGTTTTTAAACAATCTCCTGGACGTAGTACTGTCTTTTATGGAGTCCACTTTCTGTTTTCAGGCAGTGCATCCCTGACGAAATACCACTACGGGGTGAATTGTGATGTAGACAGCAGGTTGTCCGAACAAACTCCCAAGGACACGAGAAGCAAACTCTCCAGCAAGAGCCACACACCGACGCGAACCCTGTCTGCGAGTGCCGTCAAATTCGAGGCGGTAGGTCTCCCACTTAGGCCTGGTGCTCACATGCAGGATGGCTCAGCTGGACCCTGGGACAGGGGTTCCAGCCATGCGTCCCTACCAGATCCATCGGTTCAGTTTCACCCACTCTAGGCGTCGTGGGTGAATGCTGATTAGATTGTCTGCTCGCAGATGTTCGACGATATGGTTGCTGGATGCTGGGTGAGAGCCCTAGTAACGGATGCGGATGATAGCATCCTCTCTGGTGCAACCTCCACAGTATTCCAAAAAAGACTGAAGACAGTGAGGAAACAGAGAACTTTCTCGACTGTGGGACATTGTTGGTTGGGAGTCCTGAGGTTTACTGAAGGCAGACCCAGGCCTGATGCCGCTGTCGTTTCAGTTGTTCTAATAACCGTTCAGTAAGGTGAAGGGACAGAGACCCTCCTCGGCAATGCGGGTGGTTTTGCACTAAAATCCAAAAAGGGCTCCTACAGCCGCGTCCTGACCTAAGCCCTAACCGGTCGAATATCATTTCGTAGCCGCATCTGCAGCAGACAAACCCCAGCGGCGGCGGGGACGGTGGTAATAGGGGTTTAACACTAACCCCTAATCCTAACCCTACCCCTAGCATTAACCCCTAGCCCCAATCCCTAATCCTAACCCCTGGACCTAACCCCTAGCCGGAACCCTAAACCTAGCCCCTAACACTAACCCCCAACCCTAACCCCCAACCCTAACCCCTAATAATAACCCATAGCCCTGACCCCTAACCCATCCCCTACCCCTAACACTGACCCCTGACCCTACACGCGTCCTGATCATAACCCTAGTCTGTCGAATGTTATATAGTAGTCGCACCTGCAGCAGATAAACCCCAGTCGCCTGTCATACGGGACGGTGGTAATGACAGTTCGACCATCGATTTCGATGATGTCCACCATGTGCCCCACAGACTGCATTGTGGAAGCAGGGAAGGTGACCTACGCAGGGGTTATTGTGCCAATAGACTTGCGTAGCATCTACCTACACTCTCTCCTCCTCCCCCGCCTGAGCCCGGTGTCAAGACCAAGTCAAGAAGACCGGAGACGAGGGAGGCCGCAGGTGGATGGCTCGGACGGATCCTCGCCTTGGCGCTCCACTCCGCACCCCCTGGTCCACACACAAATGACCAGGATTTTGACCACAAAACAATGGGGTGATGGCAGTGGTCCAGTTGTGCGACGAATGCCGACAACGGGGTCTGCCAGCGCACACCGCAAATGTTGGCATTTGTTATTGCGCTCAGATAACGCCTACCAGAGTCCGATGTGGACCCCGTGTTGGTCCAGCGCATCTAACACGTGGCCCGTTTTGAGGGCACGGACGGTGGTAATAGGGGTTTAACACTAAACCCTAACCCTAACCCCTGAACCTAACCCCTAGCTCCAACCCCTAAACCTAACCCCCAACTCTTACCCCTAATGCTAACCCATAGCCCTAACCCCTAACCTCTAGCCTTAATCCAAAGTCCCTAACATGAACCCCTAGGCCTAACCCCTAACACTGACCCCTAACCCTAACAGGTGCGGCTACGAAACTAGATCTCACCCCCTAGCCCTGATCTTCCCGGAATTCAAGGCAATGCCACCTGTATTACGGGGTAAGGGGCGGGTATCCACTCCTGATTGTTCATCCGTCCCTTGCCACCCGTACGTGGCCGTCTCACCCCGATTTTGAAATCTTCCTCTTCGAGAATAGCTCCGAATGCCACGCAACAGAACTGCAAGTACTTTTAATGGTATCAATCTATTAATTGTGCAAATTATTAAAGGAGGAACATGGGGTTATGCGTCCGGAACATGAACTTTTAGGGTCAGTTCCAGAATTTTGGTAAAAATTTGAGTCGAAAACGATCAACTTCTGTTGACCGTAAAAGGTCATATGACGGATGCTCAACTTCATGTCCTTCCTTTAATAATTAACTAGCTATTCATCCGGAGTTCATATAACAGGACCTGCATAAAGAACGCTTGGGGACTCATTGAGGAGCCGAACCACTCGGAGTTGCGCCATGCAGCTGCGAACACATCGGCGGAATGCATGCCTAAGCTTTCAGCCGGTGTGTATTTCAGTAGTAATATATAAGCATCTATCATTTAAAATTATGGATTGTTTGTTCATTGGCGAATGTTGATTAGGCTGTCTGTTCGTACAGTACACATGCTATTTCATGAACTGTTTACCGAAATTCTGAAAAGTGTATTTACTTTGAAAAGATTACCAAAGTAGAGTTGCCTTGTTAATTTTCGTGTCGCAAAATTTCAAAATACTCTGGTCACGTAATGATACTGACTTTCGAACGAGCTCCCTGGCGACCGGTTGCGTAAAGGACATTCCACAGAAGGTGGCTACTTAACTAGTATGAATTCTTGTCATTGATTTTTTATGTCCTTAATATATATTATAGGAACACCCAGAGAGATATCGTTTTTCACTCATTTGGTAGCAAATTACGTTTTGTCTCATACTTTCTGCTTCATGATAGAGTATCTTTTGGTTTAAAAGACTTTCCCAATTCCGAAATAATTTCAAACCCGACCTGGCGTTGCACTTGTATTCTAAATTTCCAAACTATAAACTGTATGTTTTCCGTGTAAGGAAAATTACGGATTTATATATACTATTAATAGGTAGAATGTAGGTCTTCTAATTATTGTAATGGATGTAGACCATGTTGTCTACTTTATGAACAGCATTTATAAGTATGATGATGATGTGATGTTGTCTGATTGGACATTTGACGGTCGTGAAAAGGCTCATAATTAGAAAAGTTTTTAAAACCAAAAATACCCTTTTTAGACATAAATGTGCAATCCGACAAGTAAAAGAAAGACTATTTTGTGCATATTTTCTAAAAAACTTCATATACGTTTACGTTGGCGCCGGAAATCTGTGTTAAAAATTCATGCCACTTAAGTGCTCATCTTTCGCGAAATCTAGTTTACACAGGTGGTCCACAAGAAGCCCGTTTGAAAGCCAGGGTCTTGACGTGACTGGCATGTCTTGGCATTATGCGACATGCTAATTAATATGACTACCCAACTTAAGCAATCCTTAGGAATTGAAAACACATTTCAGAATTTCGGATGACATTTCATGAGATAGTGCATACACTGCGGTTAGGCCACCATGTTGTGTTTTAATTCTGCTACCTGCTAAGCGGTCATCCCTAGCACCCAAGGACGATACTGGTTTGTCCCCGCTGCTGCGTCTGCAATATGTCCAGAAATCGTGAAGGCAGTGATTTAACAGCGAACTTTCGGTACCGTTTACTCCCTTGATTTTATCTAATTTCTGGGGTTGTGGTGGCTGAGCGTTTTGTCGATTGATGAAAGCAGGGCTAGGCCTGATGCCGTTGTCGTCTGAATCGTCTTGTTCAGCGTTCTGCCCACTCCTGACACCTTTCTCTCTCACTGTTCATCTTATCCCGACTGTAAGTCCCTTTTCATCACAAATAGCTCAAAATGCCATGCGACAGAGCGTGCAACTGCCTCTAGTAGTATTCGCGTGGAACTGTTTTTTTTCAAATTTCAATGAAGAAGCCACTCTTTCGCAATTCTAATGCCCTTTTAGTAATCCTCATAACGACTTCCGTCTGTTTCCTGCGCTTTTAGAACAAAGACGAGAGCACTCCGTGCTTAAGCGCAAACGAGGATAATATTAGCAGTAAGTCGGTTCTTAACTGTCCAAAATGTTAATGTAATTTTATGCATTTATTTCGACTCCAGATGTAACTAGTGGGCTCTTCTAACCACTTCCATTCGTTGATTCAAAAACACACTTTTTCGTTGTATTATGACACAAACTCGTTCCGTGGCGCCTTAGGGCTCAGTCTAGCAGTCGGTCACATAATGACTAGTAAAGTGTGGAGGAAAGTGTACCGACCACGACAAGAGGAACTGGGTTTTCTGTTTCTGGCTTATTAGCCGTCACCAGTCAGCCTCCTAACCCGAGGTTCGATTAACCTGGGATTCGAACACGGGGCCTCCGACCGTTGAGTGTTTAGGAATGGTACTCTACCGCTCGGCCGCGAACCCGTTGTCCTGTCGGTCGCGAACGGAAATAGTGACTATCGTGAGAAGGCTGTTCACCGATCGGTCTTCCCAGTCTCTCTTGTTCGTGCCGGCATTTCCCCGGAATATATTCCTTTATTACCTTTAGCAGCTTCATGCAGTCTGATGAAAGGCTGGGGGTGGGGTATACTTCGGCTAAAAGGAATTAGGAGGTTTTTTTCTATTTCAGACACAGTCATGCATTCTGCTTGTCATCCAGCCTCAGTTTTACTCGAGCGTCTTTGACCCTCTTTTAGAACCGATTTCACACTCACTGTTTCCCCGGCTGCTTCAGAGCAGTGGGATCAAATCGACGCAGTCGGGAGTAGTGTCCTCTAGTCAGTACTTTGGCGCACCACTCTACACCTCCCTTAAGTCCGAAAAGGGTGGTATTTTGTTAAAGAATATGAACCTCAATCGCAGCCTCTCGCCTCACACCCTCGTCATGCTACCCGATGAGAACGACTTGAAGGAGAGTCAGGACTACTTAATTCCCACGGCCTTTGTCCTCTCAGAAATGGACGGCTACACCCATCTCAAGGACTCGCCGACCTTGCTTCCTCCCCCTCCGCTGGAACGCGCCGCAGATTCGGGTGTCTCCCCCGTCCTCAGGAGCAGTGAGATCTGACTGGTTGTCGCGATTGCCCCAAGAGGGCCGGCATTAAGAGGGCACAATACTCTGTATGTTAGCACCCCCCTCCCCCGTACAGATATCATACTTGGAGACCACGCACGCACACACATGTGTATGTCCTGCGAGGATTTGAAGGTTTCAAGGCGGTTTTATCCACGCCTTTATATTGGAACCGGCCGTTCACTTTTCTAATATATGTAAATTTCATTTGTGAATAAGCTTAATAAAAGCAGGTTCGAGAACCTTCATGAGATAAGAAGGTATTTTCCCGAAAAGAGGAAAATAAAAGACTCGTCCGTTTATTTAAATGACGCTTCGTGAAATGTAAATCTACGATGGAGATTAACTAAATAGATTTTGCTGAAAGGTGTAGGACTTTGATGTGGGAAAATGTCCGAACCCCTGAGTTTTTTTAGCTCCGTGCTAGCGGAGGTGTGAATGTCTAGCGCAAACCGTATGTGAGATAACCAACCGAACATGAAACAAAGTATCTTTGTTTCCGAGTTCACCACAGAATGCGTGACTTGGTGGTGCTCTTCTGCAAGGATTTAACTCAGACTTCCTGATGATTCAGACGAAAATGAATGATCGGATAGCGATCGCTAAGTCGCAGATACACCTTGCTCATTTATTTTCGGCTTTTTACGAGGGAAGCATATTCAAGGTCTGGAAAGCAAAGATCCCATGCGGTTTTCTCTGCCATGGAGACAGTGAAACTCCGTTCTTGAGCGAAACAAGCTCAATAACGTAAGGTTAAACTTCTGGTGACTTACTCTGATCTGTAGGGAAAAATGTACGAAATTCAGAGCGCCTCGTTTATTAGTCCGTCCAGTTCGATTCTGTTGCGGAGATTTTTTACTTGGAAAAACAAAATCAGAAGTCTTCAATCCGGCATTTAAAGCTGCTGTTCAGTCGCACTTTCTGAGTCAGACTTGATCTGGTGGGCAACTGTTGGTAGGGGTCGGTTACGCTTTCCTGGTCCCAAATGTAAGCGCAATGTGGACGCTGAACTCGTTAGTGGGAAAGTAGTCAAAACCAAAACAGAAAAGGAAAACCAGGTGTTTCGGTTTAGAGGTAAGGTTAGTTTTAGGGTCTGCGTTTGCGTCAGACTGAGAATTAAGTTTAGGGTTTGGGTTTGTGCTAAGTATAAGAGTTCCGGTTAGAGCTAATTATTGGGTTGCGGTTTAGGTTCGCGTTTGGTGTTACGGTTGTGGCTGGGGTTAATGCTAGTGTACGGTTGTGGTTAAGGTGGGGGTCAGAGTTTGGGTCAGGGTTAAGGTTAGGGTTAGGGTTTGTGGTGGGGTTAGGGTATGTTTTAGTGATCAGTTTAGAGTTACAGGTAGGTTTACCGTCAGGTTTGGGGTAGTTTTGCCCCACCAGTCCTGTCGGCCAGGTATGTTGCGAGGATTCTAGGCTTCTTTCAGTCTTGTGGCAAAGTTTTCATGCATTAGTTTGCCTTTTCCGTCTCGGCCTCGACTACTTTTCACACTACCGATTTCAGCGTCTCCCTTCGGCTCACTTTACTTTTAATGCCCACATTGCGCTTACACTTGTTACCAGGACAGCCCAGCCGACCCTTGCCCAACTGTTTCTATGCCTCAAACGTAAGAATTTGTTAACGGCCAACTTGTGACGGCCGAAGGCTACTAGATAAACGTATACCACAGGCCGCAAGTTCGTTCCAACCGATGGCAGAAGTCAGGAAGCAGTGAAAGCCGACCTATTCCCTGTGCATAGCAGGCCGATGTGAGTTGACGGTATGCCTGCGGACCACTCGGGAACGCGTGAGTGGCTGCGTGTAGTATCGTGAATTTGGTTATGACAATTACTCATCAAGTAGACATGTGACCCTCACTGTTGTGGTTAGGATCTCACTCGATTCCATTCCGTCTGCCCGCCAGCTTGCTACTGGCGACAACGAACGCTGTGTCATAGGGCGCATACCACATATAATACATGAGCAGCTCGCTAAGAGTGCAACAGGCCAGACGCAGACAGCTGTTTCACGGTCGTTACCGATCATCAGTACGTCATAGGCGTTATGAAGTGAGGTATTTGTACATGTGTCCTATGAAACAGCCTTCGTTATCGTCAGTAGCCAGCTGGCGGGCAGACAGAATGAGATCGAGTGAGATGCAAAACACAACAGTTAGGGTTACATGTCTACTTGGCATGTTCATGTACCTCAATTCATAAGGCCTGTGCCGCACTGATGATCGCTAACGACCGTGAAACAGCCGCCTGCGTCTGGCCCGCTGCCCTCTAAGCGAGTTACTCCCTGGTACAACCGAGTGATTACCTGATTATTTGCCAACTGATTCCTTGTTGCAGCGATTATTCACGAGTAACGGAGGTTCATGTAAACCACGCCGGCTAGCGGTCAATACGAAAGGCTGGCCTGGGTGGCACAAAATGCAGAAGGCAGAAAAAGGCTTCTAATCCTGCCCCTGAAACAAAAACCTGATCTGTACGAAATTCTTCAGTAGAGACATTTTTGAAACCTGGACGCCACTATCAATCCATCTTACAATGTCCATAGTATGCCAGAATTCGCCCTTTTCAAGGATTTTTTCCTATACGTCCTAACCTTCGAAACTATTCATGTGTGAGTAAATGATTTCACCTCCGCGATTTAGGTAAAATTTCGGTCGGATGTGGTTATGTAGCCCCACTTAAAGTAAGTAAACCTCAGTCACCTCTAATACGGGATAGGCGGTAATAGGGTTTTTTACAGGTGGGGCCGAGGAACGCACAGGCGACGAGGTCAAGTAGTTGTATGAAAAAGAAAAATTGATGGGAATGCACAGTTGTACTTCGAATGGGCTGGAAATAGGTTCGTTAACTCCTAACTCTTACCCCTCATCCTATGCCTTAACCCCTAACCGTGACCTCTAACCCTAACCCTAATTCCTAACCCTTAACACCAACCCCAACAGTATTGTGTCCATCGGGTGGGGCTACCAAACCACATCTTACCAAAATTTCTAGAGGACACAATGGCATTCCACAGAACCCAGTTCAGCAGCGTGATAAGCCAGATTGGATTTCTGGGGGCGCAGCATCCTTCATTCCACGCAGGAGGGTACACTCTATAGAGACTAATTTTACGAGCTGTATTTATGCAGGTGTCTCATTGGCTACAGCGGGCGACCTAGCAGTCTGATCAAAATCGTTCACCTTGGCTCCTTCGATTTTGTTACCTATCCCTCTGGACTGCGGTCGCCTTTAAGAGTATCAGTGCACGATGAAAGAGGCATTATGCCTCGTGCGATCGCTGAACGGAGTTCTACTGTGTCATCTCACACAAGGTCTCTCCAGCCCCCTACGCCCCTGGCGGTTGCAGCTAGGCTGCAAATGTCTTTGCACTCATCGTCTTTACTTGACTGTTCGCGCTCACGTCGATCGATAATCTGAGCACGGCGCCTCCCCTGTGCGCCAGTTCCGAATTACCAGAATGTGTTAGTGCAGATGGCCATGGCCCTAGCACGCACATTTTACTGCTCACTGAGTAGCTTTCCGAATAAAAGGCCATACTGAGCTGAAACATTTGGCTGGATCGTTGGGGGGATGAGGAGGAGGATGAGGTGGTGGTGGTGGTGGT